TTCAACTGTTCTCTGCCTCAAGAGCACTTATGATGTTCAGTATTACAGTGTGGTTTCTGAGTCCAACTGTTCTTTGTTACGGCTCAGCGGAGCATCGACTGTCAGGCATCGTTGCGCAAGATCCTTCGTGACAAGGAGTGCATCTGCTGACACTGGTTCAGTAATTTCAATCGGTTCCGACGAGTCTCTGCTTCCTTATATCCTCTTCACGGAGCGTAGGCGAGAGTTACTCCACGAATAAGGAGCCTGCTTGATATGCTGCTTCTGCATTTGGATTCGTTTGTTTGTGGGCGCCACTACTGCTTGGCCCAAGTTTGCATTTGCTGCCAGATGCGGCAGTCACAGACCCGTATGAAGCCTCATCATGGCTCTCTGTGATTGTCAACAGTTGGCTGGACTTTTTGTGAATTTTTCACGAAATGGCTTGAATTCTGAGGCGTGTCGAAAACCCAGGGTCATCCTCGGCATGATTTTGACGTTCGCTTTGTCGACAATGAGTATGCCAGGCCTTCGGAATGTCAAGGAGCTTCTGAACGGTGGCCGCGTTCCAAGAGTACTCCAAAAGTAGATTGGGCTCTCTGTTTCAACAGGCGCATGAGCATCATTGGATGCAACGGAGTCTGGGGATGACCGTCGAGCTATTTGCTGAGCTTCTTTTACTCGGTCACAGTGTCATAGTCCAGAAGTGAAGCCTCTAGAAGGGCCTAGGTGTGCCCAAGAAGCTAGTCGCGAGATGACGATCAACACCACCCCAGGCGTGAACAATAAAGTCAACGACAGAGATACCAGATGCAAATGCCCCATCATATCTTCGTTAATATGTCCTTCAACAATTTCCAAGGTGTGTTTATCCTAATTATCCTAAGGCGTCCATGCTAGGCATACGAGTCGATGACGACATAGTTGAGATCGAGATATGCGATCATGGTCGACGTATCTGAAAAGCGCTGAGCTCAGGCTGCAATTTTAATTTAAATACAGTAAGATTCTAATGAAGAAGTGTGTTCTGTTTCAGAGAAGTCTGAAATTCCCCATAGCTCCTGTGAGTCATATCGTGCCAAACGCGGCAAGTTGGTGGTACATTGAGAATGAGAGGAGAGGCCAGCTATCCAGGACTATCAATGCACTATTGTAAAAAAACAATGAAAGCTGTAACTGACTGTACTATTGCTGTACCCGAACATAATTTGAAGTTTATCTTTATTTATATCTAAAGCTCTTGCATTGTGTTTCCAAACCCAGCTCATTAACCTTGTCCCCTACTAGCAGTCATGTCGACGCGTCAAGCTCTTGACTCCAACGTGTTGCGTCCTGCCTCGGCCGTAACTTCGAGGAAGCGGAGCTCCTCTGAAGCTGACGGCGACACTCAGAACTCGAGATCTCTGAAGAAGTCTAAAAGGGATGACAGTGGTGCACAGCCTGACAAGAAGAAAAAGAAGAATCGGAGGAGGAGTCGGAAGCGCAAGAGTACTGTTACTCAGGCAGATCACGAACCACGTACTCGGTCGAGATCGAGGAGCGCAACGGTGGGGACAGATGACGACGCACAGATTCAGGCTGATGCAGATGAGCTTATAACCAAGAACTTGCTCGAAATGCCAGCCCAGAATGCAAGCGAAGTGGAGGATGACGAAGACACGTCCAACAGAATTGTAAGCTCTGTATACAGTCTATCAACGAGCATCCCTTCACCATACTCTCTTTGCAGCCGTATGCCGACAAGGGTAAAGGGAAAGCCGGACAGGAACCAATACCGCCCGTCATAGAGGCTCCGGAAGCTCAAATCGCGCGATTACAACAACAACTTGAAGCCCAGCGTCTGGTACGTGTAGCCCGCGCCTATTCGCAACCTCTCCTAAAGATATACTACGCGATCTAGCTTCTTAAGCAACATCAAACATACCTAACCCAGGTCCACCAAGCTCTCTCATGCCAAATCTGTCTCGACCTCCTTTACAAGCCCTTTGCTCTTGCACCTTGTGGCCACGTCGTGTGCTACCCGTGTCTCGTGCGATGGTTCACTGCCCCCGAAGCGGCAGGCGGACCTAACAGCCTTGAGGAGGAGATACTAGGCGCTCCGGGAACCTCGCATCAACATAAGAAAAAGAAATGCCCCATATGCCGGACACACGTCATGGAACGGCCTGTTGAGGTCTGGGGCGTAAAGGACATGGTTGCCGGGCTCACACGCAGTGGGCTGGTGGAGCTACTCGTGCCCACGTCTGAAGCAGAGGCTGAAGCATCGACATCGACCAACGAAGATCCCTGGCAAAACATCTTTCACCGCCCAAACCGCCGCACTTTCTATGACTTCTTCGAGCCGCGTCAACCACGTCCTCCACGGGAAGGTGGGGACGCGCTAGGGTTGGACGAGGTGGGCATGTATGACGAAGAAGACGGGGGCATATACCGGTGTGTCGACTGTATGCATGAAATTGCGCGGGGAGAGTGCACCCATTGCCATAGGCTGTACCCTGGGCACCAAAGCGACGACGACGACGACGACGACAACTCAGAGCTGGACTTTGGAGCCCCGGCGGACATATTTCGCATGCTTGGTCACGCAGCGCGCCACAGGCAGTTTGACCTCCGCGTGAACTCAGACTCGGGGGACTCAGTGGGGTCGATGTTTGACGACGACGATGATGCACTCGACGACGTGGACAACGACGAGTTTGACGGCGAAGATGGCATGTTCCCGGATCTTCTTAGGCGCCAATATTATGTGCGTAGGGGGCCAATCTTACCCCACTTTCCTGCACTTCCTGCACTTCCTGCGCCCGATACGTACGATCTAGACAACCTGGGGGCAGATATCGTGCATTTAAACGATGGACTGGAACCTGGGATTGCCCACATCGATGAAGTCGCTGGTGGCGACGAAAGCGGAGAGGGTTCGGATAGGTATGAGAGCGACTTCATCGACGACGCGGACCTAGAAAGCGCGCCACCGTCTTCTGACATGCCAAGAATTTCTTCCCGTATAAACTGGAGGAGAGCCCCGCGTGCAGTGGCAGAGACCAGTGACGATGTCGACGACGAAATTGTGGTCCTGGAGGAATCGACGAGATCGTCTCGCGGTGCGAGCACATCGAGAAGGCGGATGTCGAGACGGGGCAATGCCTCAAGTACTGTTGTGGTTCGCGACGATGACGAGGATGAAGATGAGGAAGATCTAAACTATCCGCGATTGCGATTGCGTGCTCTGGGCCGGCGTACGAGGATCGTAGCTGAAGACAGTGAGGACGAAAGCGACCATTTGTCAGAAGAAGTTGAAGACGATGATGATGATGAAAGGTTCGCTGCACATCAGTGTATACCTTGAACGGTGTGTTCTAACTCTATACTTTTAACCTTACAGGACATATGAAGATGATGGCTCAAGGTCTGGCCCATCCTCCCGTCTGCTGAGAATGATGCAACATGAGAACATCAACTTTGACGATGATTCAGAGAGTGATGCATAGTGATTGACGTAGAGTGAATATTTTGTAACACATGTAGCAATTTCGACGTTAATGTGAACAATTTTGTGACGAAGTGTTACAAATATTGGATAAAGGATGTGTAACCTCTTATGGACTGGATGGGCTCGATACTAGACTCTCAACGGCTGAAATGAAAAATATGATGCCGCCAATCAACCATTGTCCGTAGCAGGATTCGAGCCTGCGGCTTCTCGGAGCTCAAAGACCACAACGAGATGATTTGACCACTAATCGATACGGACGTTGCCAATCGACCTGATTTGTTTGTATCACCCTACCTAATCGGTGATTACCTCCTTATGTCTCCTCTGTCTTCGAAGTGGTGTTTATCAACATTCTTGAATTTCTCGTAATGCTTACCAAGTAACTGGGTGCCGATGACTTTACACCACTGCATACATGCACAGGCGTTCTCAGGGCTCTTAATCGGCCTCACCTCTGTGTAGTGTTTGTCTAATCCCTGGATCACCGCGCCCTCTTACGGCATCTTATCAAGCTAGGCCACGCTTCAGAAGTTTATATGAAGTCTCCTTGTTTTAGCTTCTAAATACACGCAGATGCAACGTGCTCGCCCCTCCATTCCATCTATCACGTCCACGATGCGGATGGACGCGCCTCAGACGGCAGGAACTCGCATGATGATGAGCACATCACACATGTACGCTCTTGACTAGTCTACATATCTCACCAACTTAACTTCAACTCAATCGAATCTCTTCTCGTTTGCATAACCCTCGTCTATCAGGACCAGCAGTACAATCCGCAACATCTTATTATTGGGTTCCTCGCAGCCATCGCTTCCTGGAATGCAACACACCCCTAGTATTGTTCAATTGCGAAACCCACAAAGCCCGTCGTCGTCCTCGCCTCGCGCCCGTGTGCCGTCAATACACTGGCTATTTAGAAGCAACATCCCTCGCAGGCGCAGTTCGTTCCTTCCCCCAGATATTCACAAAAGAAACTTCTTCGGAATGGGCGAAATCGTTGGTGTCATTACAAATGTCAGTTCTTGTTTTGAGCATGCCCTTATGTCTGACTTATACTGTTCCGTAGCCTGCAGAGACAGTGCGATCGCTTACGGAGTCTCGAAGGCTTCTCGATGAAGCTCGGCGAGAAATCGCAGAAAACAACGAG